CCGTACACCAACGCTGTGTGCAAAAATCGCAGTGGGATCCAAGTCAAACAACCAACAACAACCACAAGACAACTTAGATTAAGGCCATCAAACAGACATGGCTAAACCAATACACTTTTCGAAATCACCAAAATAAAGCCATGAAAGCAATGAAACAGTGATCATAGGAACGGTGACGGAATTTTCACAATAAATGGAATAAACAACATGTACTACCAAAACCCTGCAGCCATAGCTGGCTGCATGAGTCACTCCACAACAGCAGGAGCATCAATCGGAGTATTATAATTTTTCAATGCACCTTTAAGATCAGCACACTAAATCAAAACACAGGTCATACTTTATAGCGATCATACGGAGCGAAACATTTTATTTTAGGCCACTGAATAGCACTGGCAGCTAGGAGTGTACAACTCCTCTAGAGCAGTTTTGAGTGAAGATCTCATAGATAGTGACTCAAGTTTCAATTTATTGGCGACAGCATTCCAGACCCTGGGGGCATCAATAGCAAAAGCCCTTCCTCCGGTATATGTACGGCAATAGGGAATATGAAGCTGGTAAATGAGTGTAGACCTTAGGTCAAATTTGTTCTTTGAAACAGAGAGGAGATCCAGCAGGTAATCTGCGGATTTTTTTGTAAGTACATCATGAATAAATAAGATCTGGTGCACAAGCCGTCGAACATTCAGAGATGTTAAATTTGACCCAATGTAGAGATCACAGTGGTGAGTCCTATATGGGCAGTTCAATGCAAATCTTAAGGCCGAGTGATACATTGAGCCAAGCTTCTTCAGTGCAGTACTTGGGGCTGATTTATACACGATGTCACAGTAATCAAGTAGAGGCTTTTATCAATTCCAAACGGAATTTAGGGGGGAAGCAGTGCTTGTGTCGATATAGAAAACCAATTTTAACTTTTGTCTTTTTCCCAATATAATCAATGCGATCTTCAAAATTCAGTTTTGAATCCAGGATGAACCCAAGATACTTATAGATCTTGACTTGCTCTATTTGATCATTATTTAAGGAATGTAATTGGGGGAAAATAACTTCCCGCATTAATTCTGGTGAGAAGCATAGCACCTTGGTTTTGGCAGGATTTAGGACTAGTTTAAGAGCAACTAGCTGATGTCGTAGTTTGTTGAAATCACTCTGGAGCTTAGCAATCACGTCATCCAGAGAGCGGCCAGCAGTAATCAGTACCGTATCATCTGCAAAAATATTTACCCTGGAAAAATCCAGTTCAGTGCCCAAGTCATTTACATGAAGAGAGAACAAGAGGGGGCCGAGAATGGAACCCTGTGGAACCCCTTTTGTTATCTTAACACTGTTTGACCTCCAACCATCTGTGAATACAGTTTGGGTGCGAGAAAAAAGGTAATTTTTTTACCATTTTACTGTGTTTTCGGAAAAACAGAGGCAACTTATTTTGCTAAGCAGGATGTTGTGGTCTACTGCAATCAAAAGCTTTGGAAAAGTCAAGAAAAAGACAGGCGCAGTACTGCTTATTATCAAGGCTACTGTAAATGTGATTCAGAGAGTCTAATGCAGCAGATGTAGTGCTGTTTTTTTTCGGAACCCAGATTGTTTTAGATCTAATAGATTGTTGGCGGACAGGAAACTGCTAATTTGGTAGTTCAATAATTTTTCTAAAATTTTCATCAACGGGGACAAAATTGAGATAGGTCGGTAGTTATTTGGATCATCTTTAGGGCCCCCTTTGTGAAGTAGACGAACATAGGAATGTTTCCATTCTAGAGGAACTGATGCTTCTTTGATAGACAGGTTGAAAATATGGGCTATAGGTTTGTATATTCGGTGACCAACAGTTAGTAGAGCAAAGACGGGAATACTATCTGCTCCGGTAGAGGAGGACCCTTTGAGGTAGGACAGTTGTTTCAGAACATTACTTTCGTGGATTGGCTGAAAACTAAATTCGCTTAATGTTTGGATAGGGGTGTAAGAATTTGCATGAGCAGGGGTGACTCCCAATACATTATCAAATAGGGTACCAGTTCAGAAAAATGAAGGTTAAAATTGTCAACTATTGGGGATCTGAAAAATATTCCCCATTTCGGTTAAGCTGAGCGGGCAGATTATCTGTTTTGGATGCCTTTTCGATGCATTTGATTGGAAACCCGAGTTCGATTCCTGCTCACAGCCAACACCAGTTACGATGATCTGAACCGGTCCTGGGGCCTCCCCTAGGTCGACTCGGCATTGAGTACCTGGTGCGGTGTGTAAACATCGTCACTTGGTTGACAAAAGGGCGTGGTGCTGAGCCTCCCACCCCCTCGTGCGCCGTACTGACCTTCATAGGCGCTACTCGCTAATAGTACTTCCCCAACAGTTTGTTTACAGGCTATATGTCTGTGATGCAGTCATTTCTAGTCTGTTGATGGTCGGCGATGCGGCAATCGACTCATCTCGACGAGCGAGACACGATGTACTATTCAAAGTTGAAATTTTCGATAATGGTTTTTTTTATGCTAATGTTTGGCGTTTCGACATTGCGGAGTACCACTGATTTCGGATTGATTGGTACACCCAGTCGCGGAGTTAAGTACACCCCTGGGAAAAAATAGTGTCCCAGAAATAAAATATTTTATTGCCGCGGCCATTTTGTATTATTTGGTACCCCGGGGTACCGCCATAATAATCATTTGCGAGATCTTTGCTGATAAACGATGCAACTTGGCGGTTGGCAGCAGTCAGCTTACAGCAACAATGGGAGTGACGCTCACCACAGGCGCAAAGCGCTAGATGGTTATCACAAAAGGGTGGTGGTTACGCACGTGGCCTGTACTTCAACTCCGTGGAGGTGACGAGGGCTGATGGATCACACGCGTAGTGAAACTTCCTTCTCGTGGGTGTCGAGGAGACCTACCCTGGCTTGCCAGTAGAAGGCGGCAACAGCCCAAGTGTGGGCGAATTATAATTATCTTGATTTGAAGCTTTCGTAACTGCAGGCATCCATACTTTTTGGTTCTTTCGGTAAAGTCACGTAGGTAGAAAAATAATAGATCACATCGTTTCGATCGCAACACAAGCAATCGTCATCATGTAAGAACTACAGCAAGACAGCTGCGGTGGCACGAGGTTATATTGGTATCGGCGGTAGGGGGGAGAGAGGGGGGGGCTATCTAAAGCCTGACTCCCACCACCATCCAGCCCAGAAGAATTCCCTCATCAAAATACTACACCATAGGGCCCATTGCATCTCCTACCAGCACCACCTAGCCAGTGAGCTGGAGCACGTACACCAAGCCCTCAGGATGAATGGATATTCTGACCGTACAATCAGCAAAGCTGTCTCCCCAACCATGGGGAGACAAACATCTGAGGATCCAACCAAAACCATCACTTTGCCATACATAGCAGGGGTTACCAAAAATATTTCCAAAATCTTAAACAAACACAAGATCCAGGTTCGTTTCAACACAGTACACAAAATCCGTGATTTGATCCCATCTGTAAAGGATGTGATTCCTGACATGCAATACCCTCGTGTCTACAAACTGAGTTGTGGCTGTGGCAGCAGTTACATTGGGGAAACGAAACGACATGTCTCGGACCGTGTTCGTGAACACAAGGCGGATCTGATACACAATAGGACCAATACCTCTGCTGCAGTGGGCTCACACGAAATTGACTTTTCCAAGATGAAGGTACTCTGCAAACCCACCGGCTATTAGAGATTTGTTCATGAAGCCATCCAGATATATAAACACAGACACAACTTCAACCGAGAAGTTGGGTACAAACTGAGCAATCATTGGAAGAACATTATTAACCAAGTAAAGTCTTAACTGACTGTTATTGTTCCATCCTACCTGCCTATGTCAGCTGTTATTTCCGACTCCTTGTTTCTCTCTCTGTGCCTCTCTCGGATCTCTGCCCCAGTGACTCAGGTGCTGCTTGCGGGGCCTCTCAGCAGAGCTCTCACCCGGTGCTGCTGCGGGTCCCACTTTCTGCCCCGCCCCCTCCCCCCTTCTCTCTCCCCCTACCACCGATACCTATATAACCTCGTGCCACGGCAGCTCTCTCGTCTACTTCAGCAGTTCTTGCTGTAGCTGTCTCATCTGATGACGATTGCTTGTGTTGCGATTGAAACGTCGTGATCCATTATTTTTCTACCTACGTGACTTTACCGAAAGAACCCAAGAGTATAATTATAATTATCATCTGTCCCTTCTGCACCATGGGGGTATTCACCGGTTGATCCGGTTTCCTCTCGCGTGGATAAACGCCCATTAATCGGGTGAAAGCATCTGCATATGTGCGAGCCTCCGTATGTTGCGGATGGTGCAACATTTCAATGTGTAGCCTGCATGAGTGACGGTATGTTAACCCGCTCCTTAATGTATCATGATTGGAGCAATTTTGTACGTTTGGGAGTGCAATCAGCGCATCTGGCGGTCATTAGTATTAACTAAAACCACCTGGGACCTTCCTCTCTCCAGGGGGACTGACTTCCTGTGCCCTCTTAAGTGCAGCCAAAGTGGCACGTGAGACGTCCAGCCACGTATAGCGAATGGGGGTTCCTGGGTAGATGCGTATGGGGGAGCTGTGGGGAGTGGTGGTGTAATGGTTAGCGCACTGCGCTACGAAACCGGCGACCCGATTTCGATTCCTGTTCACGACCAAGAACACTGACGAATATTTGAACCTGTTCTAAGCCTCCCCTAGGGCGACTCCGCCTCAAATGAGTACCTGGTGCGGTGTGTAAACATCGTCATGAGGGAGACAAAGGCGGCACAGGCGTGGTGCTGGCCACCCACCCGCTGGAGTGCCGTTCTGACCTTCACAGGTGCTCGCTAAAGGCACTTGCCCCAAAAGTGTATTGAGGCTACACGGGCGATCTTTGCCTCTTTATATATATGGGTGGTTCCTGCTCTGCCTGTGTGCTTCGTCAAGCTTCGTCAATTCTCCCTAACCCCCCCCCCCCCCTCTGCGTGCCGTTCTCGCCGAGTGAGTGTGCGCGGTGGGCAATCCCCGCCCGGACACTGCGGGGAGCTCGTCCGTCCGCGCGCTCTGTGAGTGAGCGCCTCGAGCGCTGCGTGCGCAGTGTCCCCAGCGCCGTCCTGGGGCTGCGGCTGGGGATGAGCGCCACGTGGGGATGCCTCTCCGTGATGGGTCTCTGCGCGCTGCTGCTCGCCGCGGGTCGCGCCGCGTGGCTCCTCGCGCTCGCGCTCCGCACGCACCGCGCGCTCTGGGGGCGCCGACCCCGCGCGGTGTCTCCGCTCCTCTGCGCCAGCGGGGACTGGGCAGGTAACGCGCGAGTGTGTGTGTGTGAGTGTGTGTGAGAGCGAGTCCGTCTGTTAATACTAGATTTTCGAGGGCATGTTTGTGAGTCTGTCTGTACGTGTGTTTGTTGGGCTTGCAAAAAATGTTTTTTTTTCACGATTAGATATACAATTACATCATGCCACGATTATCGCGATATCGTTGGTGGGCAGCACGACGCTTTGCCCGTATCTCACATTGTTATAGTGCGTGTGCGCTGTACTGCCAGTCCGAACAAAAAAATATTAAATTAATTAACCGCAGTGCACGCAGAACGAGCCTACCCACAAACAATCCTCTCATTAATGTATAGTGCACACGCTGTCAGTTACACAACACACAAGTCCGTTCAAACGAGCTACTTTAACGATGGCATACATAATCGCCATGCCCTCAATCACTCAGCGAGGGAAAACAACATCCACATTGAGCGAAACGACGAATGCAATAGGCAGGACACGTCGCGAGCAGCGGACGATGGACCATGGTCAAGAATAATAACGTGGAGTGGCAGCCGAAGAATGTGAACGCGTCAGAGAGGATGTCCGCCGAGGAGATGGAGCGATGACATAGGCTCCGTGTGCGGGCGCTGGCTGGATTGTTGCATGGCAGGACCAGCGCCGACGACCTCATATTGGGAAGGCCTTCGTCGAGTGGTGGGGATAGATCATGGCTGGTGATAACTATAAGTCAATTAGTGAACTTTTATTTTACCAGGTAAGGCCCGCTGAGTTATCTATAACGGCTCTTTTTCAGAAGCGACCTGGCTATCACAACGAAGTGGCTTATCACGTGGAAATTCATATCAGCCAAATACTCTTAAACGAGTAATGTTGATTCTACATTTGGAGAGAAACAACTGGAGGACTTCAAGAAAAATCCACATGACCACGGAGAGAGAGAGCGACGCATACTCCAAATATACAGCAGCAGGCGTCAGGGTCGGGATCGAACCCACGATCGCCTTTAATGGGGTAACTTATTTTCAATCATTGGGCTCACGATCGCAGTGCTTATGGTAAATCCACAGTCAAGATAGACTCGACAATTCCTCTTACAAGAGAGAGAAGAGGTGGGACCTCAGAAGAGATGGGTCCTCACTGGAGAACAGATAGGTTCTCACTGAAGGAAAGTGAAAATACCTGCTACGAGCCAGCACTGTGTACGACCGCATGGGAACACTTTTTGATTCGTTAGTAAGGAGATTCATGCTATCGGGTGGCATCACCGTAATGCCAAAATGTCCCTGACTGCTTTGAGGTGGAAAGTAAACACAGTGAATCGTAGATCATTCACTTGAACTGGCGAATGTGTGGTATGTTTTCCAAAATTTCACAAGTAAAATGGCCCTACTGGACCAGGGTTATTGGCCTTCAAGTAAAACTAGAATTAGTTCACTCATCCCGGTTTACAATATAACTAGTGAAACGCCCATAACAGGCCCCAAAAAAAGCATTTGGCAGTAATTACGAACAGTACCTTATTCGGGACAGTATTCGTCGTCACAAAACCGCGATCAAACCACTGCTGGATCAAGGTCTCTGCAAGCCGTCGGCCACCTCTCACGTTTCTGCGACGCAACAACCCAACGTGCCGCGCCACGGTCAGAGGTCGTGCCTCTGGCTCCTCCGCTGACATCCTCTTGGATGCGTACCCGTCGCACTTATTCAGTTGACTATCGCCCGTCTTATCGAATTACGTTTCGCGTCGCATTCTAATCATGCGGCTATTTTCATGCTTTGCTATACAGCAGATAGTTCCAGTGCAAGTAAAAACATCACTTGCAGTTGTTTAGTTGTCTGCCGCGAGTGTCCTACTAATCGTGACAATTTCACAATCTTTAACACTTGTCGCGCACACAACTCGCGGTAACACAAGGTATGAATAACATGCGTGACTAGGGTAGTCTGGGTTTTCGGTTGTGATGCGAAATAAAAATAGATTGTTCGACGTGTGATATAGCTGTCTTCCATTTTATACATAGTTATTGTGTTTGTTGTTTCGCAAATATTACGTCACGAAATAAGATAATGCATTGTTTTTGTTACGGGAATAGATGAAGCGATTTTGGTAGAGTGACACGATCATCGTTGTTGTTGGGTGCCGCGGTGGCCTGGCCTGCTATACAGGAGATCGTAGGTTGGATTCCGACTCTGACGCCTGCTGTATATTTGGAGCTTGCATCTCCCCGTGGTCACGTATTTGATGACAATAATGTCCACGTGACAAGCCACTTTGTTGAGCTATTATTTGTGATAGCCAGGTCGCTTCTAAAAATTAGCTACACAGCAGCTAAGTTGGGCCTTACCTGGTAAAATACAAAATAGCGTAGTTTTAGTTTGTTTTTGTTAAGCCGTACAATGAACCACAAGTGCTTCCCTCCTTTCTCTCCGCCTTTAATTCGGAGATGAAGGGAACGTTCCAAATGACTCCGCAAAACTCTGCACAGACGTCTGGGGATGTTTCATGATTCTATTTTTCTTCTCCATATTGCAGTTGTTACAGGTGCCTCTGATGGAATTGGAAAGGCTTATGCAATTGAAGTGAGTACAGTGAATGTTTATTAAGCATTTTTCTATTACTGCATTTGACACGTTGAGAGCATGCTACATTGCCACATACATAGCGATATTGCTATTGTATAGGGTGACACAATTTTTTTTTCACAGACCAAACCCATACATATGTCTCAATCAGCCCAGGTCTATTATCAAAACTGCAGTCAAGGGTGATAACGTTCAACACAGCAATACCAGATCTCGGTACAAATCATGTCTTGGCACCCGTATACAGACCACCACCAAATTTCCAGACTGTGCGGGGCCCAATCCAGACAAGGTGGCAACTCGACCGACAACTTTATTCGAGTGCAGTAGAGTTTGCACGCGTAAGTTGAAAGTCCACTGTATGCACACTTCTTCACAGCTCACACCATCAGCGGTCCACCCTGCAGGGAGATCCTCCATGGACCCTAAGCTCTCCTGTCCCTTCTAGCACTCTCTCACGATCCTTACTAGAACCTTCTCTCAGCCGATGACAACTTGAAATAAACTCCCACCAGTTCCCGTTCAAATCCCCTTGCCCATCCAATGCTGGTTGGTCGGACAGACCATCAATTATCAGTGGCTGTTCCACCTGACCAATCAGGATCGTCCTGGAATAGCGATCGGCCAATTAGTAATGATAAATTTATAGACTAAATGGCACAAAGTGCCTGCGCATTTGCATGGCATGGTATTTGTCCTATGGTGACGAGATGTTAACTACCTCGCCTTTTGTACAGGACGTCATAGGTTCGATCCTGACACCTGTATATTTGGAGTTTGCATGGTCTCCCCGTGATCGTGTGGATTTTTCTCCGGGTCCTCCGGTTTTTCTCTCCAAGTTTAGAAACATGCGTTTAGAGTATTTTGCTGATATAAATTCCCACATGATAAGCCACTTTGTTAAACTATCATTTATGGCCACGTAGCCTCTGAAAAAGAGCTAAATAGCTCAGTGGGCCTTACCTGATAAAATAAAGAAATAGTTGAGTTTTAGTTTAAATGTTGCAATTTTGTATCCGTTCAAAAAATGCCAACATATTTAGTAAAAGTATTTGTCTCGGCCTCGCTGTGCGCTGCGTTGCACCACTATCCGAGTAGTTAACCTCGCATTCAATACACCTTCGGCCAGGGTGAACATCTGACTCCAACGTATTTAATAAATAGTACAAGGTAAATGGATGGTAAAACACAGCACAAAATACAGCATCTGTTAATATTTGCAATATCAATACAATGAATGAACACTGCAGCATCATAACATTGTCTTAGATAACATGAATCTCAATAATAGGTCCTGAATGGACCAGACACCTACATTAGCACTGAATAGCTATACATCAAGAGAATAAGCTACTTTGTTAAATAAGGTCACTTTGTGTAATCACCATACTGCAGCCCAAATGTACAGTGCTGCACATAACACTGAACTGTGGATGAGATACTTCTTCATCCTTGCTCACAATAATGCAAGTGGCAGGCTTCGTTGTTAACTAGGCTTCGTATTTATCTAAACAATGTAACAGCATTATAACGTCAATCCTAACATAGCAGCATTCCCAGTATTATAACAACAAAAACGAACTTAGAGATGATGCTTCTTAAAGTCCCACAATGAACAGATGCACCCGTCTTCACTGAAACGCTAATTGTGCCTCCATTTTGTACTCTTTGTAATGGCTGACACCCCTGCCTTGCCTCGTGGCTTCGAGACCCTTAACTCGTAAGGGGCCGTCCATAAATGACGTCACGCACCTATAGGTGGGGGGTGGGGGGTCAGACATTTGCGACGATGTGTGACGAGGGGGGTTTTAGAAATATGACGTCACATTAAAATGCACAACTTTAAATAAATATAAGCAACACATTCTACTTAACTAAATAGAATTGTTATAACGACAGTATTTTTTCATTATTTACTTTTTGATGATTTCAACTTATTAAGGTCCCCTTTTATTAATAGTATAGATTATATTATGTTAAACATAAGAACCGGAAGTCAAACTACGTCACACTTTTATGGAGAATAATACTTATTCAAGAAGAGCAAGTGCAAATAAAAATGTAATGCAGTCGTTATATTAAAAACGCTTAAAAGTTTCGAATAAGGATTTTAAAAACGTAAGCACTATTATTCCTGTCATATCAATCGACATAATTTAAAATCACACGTTTGTTTATTAAATATTAAAAAATTATATCAGTATAATTTTTTAATAATATTATGTTACGATAACATTTATAATAATATAGAGAGAAACGGTTTTGGGTACAAAGATATCAAGCAGCCATTTTTGAGCATGGAGGGATAATTAATCATGGAGTACCTACTAAATATACGTCATTCGGCAAGCGTGCAATAGCCAACGCGTCCTCCATGATTGATTGTTCCTCCATGAAATTATAGTTCTTTGTAACCAGAAATGGCGTCATGCTTCTTTTCGCCATTGTCCTACTATGAACCATGAGGGACTGAATTTAACCATTTACGATCTTTAATTTAACTACAGAGTTCCCTTATGAAAAAAATAAATTAAACCGCTCACGATTCAGTATATCTTGTGCACGATTTAGTATTTTAAATATTTTTTTTGTTCCATGAAAGAGCATTTTGCTTTTCCATAGGAGAATGGAGAAGCTACCTTTTTTTTATGATTGTTATTAAACATTTTGATTTTAATAATTCTACCAGGGCTTTTCATTCTGTGGAATGAATGTGATTGTTATAATTGTACACTCCATAGTTATAATTACTTTTAATATTTGATAATGAGAGAATTTCAATATAATATTCTGAACATCTGCAGTTTTAGTTAAATTATGAATATTTTGAAGTGAATTTTATGCTAAATTTCAGCTTTCCAACGCCTCCTACATCAGAGTGCAGCGCCACATTAAATACGCATTACTATGACCATAGCTTAAGCGATTTGAAGCATGTTTTATTTTCAAAATGGAAATATAGTTTTGGGGGGGGGGGGGCAGAGCTTTGTGACGTCATATTTTTTGTGACGCCGTGTGAGGTTGGTCAAAAATCTGCCAAAATCGCGTGACGTAATTTATGGACGACCCCTAACTTCCTGGTCACGTGACCAAACTCAACATCATATCAGGAAGTTCCTGTGTAAACACACCCCCATATCTGCCGTGGGGCAGAACAATTTAATATTACAGCATAAATCTATGTTTGATAATCGACAATGCATACCAATTCAGCATATTTATGTTTTATCATGGAAAATGTTTCATACCTCGTGATTTAATGTTCCCTCGATAATCAAACTTATTTTTTGTTATAATAACATCAATAATAAGACATTAACATCAAAACCAAAATATAATAATATTGTTCATATTAACATCAACAGTATATCAACAACCGAAAAACGTCATCATTATCAACAACAATAATGATAACATCATGACATGTGTAATAAAGGACTCGGACGCTTCTCTCTGACTTCGTGTCCTTTATTGGGTTCTTGTCTTTTCCCTCACGGCACTCTCTTAGAGACACTCTATTTGTAGCCCCCAGGCTGCTATCGCTATTGTAGCCTCCTTCCTCTCCCTGCAGACTCGCTGCTAACTCCTCGTGCAGACCCCCGCTGCTAATTCTATATGCAGACCCTCTTGGCCTTACTCCGTATGCAGACCCGCTGCCAACTCCCGTATGCAGACCCGCTGCTGACTCCGTATGCAGACCCGCTGCTGACTGCAGCCTCCTCGCTGCTTCGGGTCGGTCACCGCTGGCCGACGGTGCCGATCCTCGCTCCCCGTGTCCGTGGCGATCTCGCCACCCTCCGCTCTCGCCCTACGTGGCCTTACTCGTTCCTGGTCTCCCGTCACTCCCCTTCCTCTTCCGGTTCCCCTCCCTCTATAGACTTAACCCCTCTCCTCCCCGTGACCTAACTCCTCCCCTCATGACGTCACTTCCGGAGGGCCGTTTACGCCCGCATTACACATGTATAAATATGACTAAGACAGATGTACAAATATTTTACAACCTCAACTGAAGCCATAATATATCCACAGCCATTATAACTACAACCACATTATACCCAAAACGTCTGCAATACAACCATAAGCAAACCGGCATTATAGTAACAATCATAAAAAACACAAAGACCCCCGTATAGCCTTTAACAGACTGTTGAGGCAAGTGCTGTTAGCAAGCACCTATGAAGGCCGGCACAGCACACGAGGGTTGGGTGGCCAACACCACGCCCAGCCGCCTTTGTATCCCTAGTGGCGATGTTTATATACCACACCAGGTACAAATTTGAGGCCGAGTCGACATAGGGGAGGCCTATGACCCTTTCAGACAATTGTCACTGGTGTTGGCCGTGAGTGGGAATCGAACTCGTGTTGCAAGGTTCATAGTGCAGCATGCTAACCGCTACGCTACTGCTCCCCACAGTTTAAACCATAACCAAATACAGTAAAACCTTGGATTGCGGGCATAATTCGTTCCGGAAACGTGTTTGTAATCCAAAGCACTTGTATATCAAAGCACTCGTACATCAGTTGTGATCACGTGACGCAAAGCGTATATGTACTACTCGTATTGCAAGACCTCGTTAGTTTATCAAATTAATATTTATTTAAAAATGTTGCTCGTCTTGCAAAACACTCGCAGAGCAAGTTACTCGCAATCCAAGGTTTTACTGTAACCACAAACATAACCACAACAGCCATAATATAACGACAATCACAATATGACCATGAAAACCACATTGCCCTTCCACCACATCTGGGCCATATCAATTTAGCCTGTGTCAGCACGGTCACTTACACAAATAACGCATTGTCATGAATATTTGTCGTAGAGAAAGCTCTCAATTAATCGTGCTAATTCAAAATCGCGGATAATCCAAAAATATCCATTTGCCGCGGATCTCTATGCCAAAAACCCACTAATATAGATATAAATGATGTATACGTTAAGAAAATTGAGTTTGTTAATGAACTAAACTAAAATTTGTCGTAAAGAATTTATCGATCGGTGCGCGTGCTCATTAATAACACTTTCCTACTTCTGCACAGAAGACTCAACCCACCAATTGGACAGCAGCAGAGCCACAGCCAATCAAGATCAATCAAACTCCATCCACTGTAGTAAAGAAATGCAACTACTGTACTGTAGAGGCGATCACGTGGATTTCGGATTAACCGGAGCAGATATTTGTTCAGTTTAAGCAGGTGACTTGTAATAAACATTTCCAAGAATAACAATTTATAACTGTTTTTAGATAAATATTAATTTAGGCATAAGGGAAAATCCATGGGTTATAAATTTGTGTCAATCTCAGGTGCTGCAGTTAATCGGATCATCAAGAGTCTGCTGTATATGTTTGCAGACCTTTTACACAATTTTCTGAAAATATCCTCAGCAAGATGAAATGTTTGTACCGACTATCTGTTTGGGAGATCCAGAGTGTGACGGATGGGACGGACAGTTTGGATAGACTTAGTCTGACTGACAATTAATTCTTGGTTTGGTCTACAGTGGAAAAGATGGTGACCCGAAATCATACATATCAACTCATACAGTTTAGCCATATTCTTGTACAGGGTAATTGAGTTTTCGGGTCCATACAGCCATTTCAATACGGGCAAAAAAAAACTAAATTTGTCTTTGTTTGTATTTCTCTCTTGTGACGGTACTTTGTAGGATGAATGTTGATATTTATAAGGGCACAGGGTGACCAATAAGGTCTGAATTGGTCTGTAATAGGGTAGGCACTGATAATGGGTTGAGAGGTATGCGAAATGGCACTGTGGCATGATAGAATGAGACTTAATAATCATCGATATGTTACGGCAAATGGAAGTAAAAAATTTACAACAAAGTGCGTGATTTCATAATCGCCATTACTTGAATCGTTGCCGTGATTATGGAGGGGCACAGTACTGCAAACCCATACTCGAATCCACAAAACCTGTACAGGTCGGGGTTAGGGCTATGGTTGGGGTTAGGAGCATGGATTGAACATGGTGGTTGCTGTGTCTGTAGTTGGCGAGGCAAGGATTGAGCGTGGTGCTGATCAGCAGGACCCGCCACAAGTTGGTGAAGGTGGCAGAAGAAATTGGTTTGTGTATATTTCTACATCTCTAACACTGGTCTCTTGCCAAAATGCTTTCGAAATAAATGTACTAATTCTGGGTCACTGAGAATGAAAATGATGCTTCAAATTGTTGCTTGGCTCTAGTTTTTAATAAATGCTACCGAGTCGGTATATACGACCCTTGACTTGGGAATAGCCGAGGATACGCGAGTTATGAAGGGAAGGGATCTCAATTTAAACCAGAAATTACTAAAATACATATTTGACTGGATCTATACATACATCTATGACTGGGTTTGGATAGTACTTGCTTTTTGAGCAAAACATTGATGCAATCTGAACCTGGTATTGCATCATACATGATATAAATTGCATCATGTTATGCCTAGAAGTCATCTATATATATAAAATCGTGCATGTCTGTCTGTGTGTGTGTGGATTTCGGACCATACGCACTTTCATTGGACGGCGGTTGCCCCTGGCAACGGCTAGCGACGCCTTCGCCGCTTTCATTGGACCTGGCAACGGCTAGCGACGCCTTCGCCAAGGGCTGCAGTTTCATTGGACGGCGGTTGCCCCTGCCAACGGCTAGCCACGCCTTCGCCACTTTCATAGGCTCCGTAAATAATTAAATAATAGCCATTACACAGTATTGTTCGAGCGCTGAGGGGGGGAAGGCACGCCACCCGTACCCTGCCTCTGCCGGCTGGACAATTTTGGCGAGGCCGCAGGCTCTGCACGCTACTAGGCCTAGACACCCACCACGCCACTCTGAGGTAAATTCATCAAAGTTTTTCCTACTCTTCACTCCACCCCCACCACAATGTGTGCAATTTATATTACTTTTAAACCCAACGCGCCAACAATCGATTACTTAAATGTTCACTGTACAAATAGTCATTAAGCTGGGTCAGCGTACTGCCAGTCTATCATGTAGACTGTAGCCTGCTTATTAAACTCGGTGAGCGTACTGCCACTCTATCATGTACACTCTAGCCTGCTTATGAAGCTGAGTGCGTGTACTGCCAGTATATAATGTGGACTGTAGCCTGGTTATTATAATCGATTCTTTATATGTTCTTTGTACAAATAGTCATTAAGCTGGTTGAGCGACCCCAGTTCCATTCCAACTCACGCCCACCACCGCTGACGATTATTTGAAACGGACCTGGGCCTCCCCTAGGTCGACTCAGCCTCAAACGCGTAACTGCTGTCGTGTGTGAACATCGTCACTGGGGAGACAAAGGCGGCCGGCCATCGTGGATCCAAGTCCCGGGCGAAGCCGGGTCATGTGTATGTGTGTATGTGTTTGTGTGTATGTATGTCGGTTTTTTTGTATGTCTTTATGTGTATGTCTGCGTGTCTGTATGTATGTGTGTATGTACGTGTGTGCATGTGTTTGTGTGCATGTATGTGTGTGTGTATGTATGTGTGTTATGTGTGTGTCTGTGTGTCTGCATGTATGTGTGTGTGTATTGTGTATGTGTTTGTGTGTATGTATGTGTGTGTTTGTGTGTATGTGTTTGTTTCTGTGTATGTATGTGTGTGTATGTGTTTGTGTGTATGTATGTGGGTTTTTTTGTATGTGTTTATGTCTATGTCTGTGTGTCTGTATGTGTGTATGTACGTGTGTGTATGTGTTTGTGTGTATGTATGTGTGTGTATGTATGTGTGTGTATGTGTTTCTGTGTATGTATGTGTGTGTATGTATGTGTGTCTCTGTGTGTCTGCATGTATGTCTGTGTGTATTGTGTATGTGTTTGTGTGTATGTATGTGTGTGTTTGTGTGTATGTATGTGTGTGTTTGTGTGTATGTATGTGTGTGTTTGTGTGTATGTATGTGTGTGTGTATGTGTTTGTGTGTTTACGCTCGCATTACACAAATGTGTTGCAGGTCTAAGGCGTTCCTCGCGCAGCATTGCCGCTTTATTATTTCAGTCGTTTACTGCCGTACGCACCCTGAAAGTCGTGTGTGTCTGCAGCAAGCGCGTGTATGTGTACCTATGGACGCGCGCGCGTGTGTTGTGTAGGGGGAACGGTAGTGTAGTGCTTAACGTGCTGTCTGTGTCTGTGTGTGTGTCTGTGTGTGGTGTGTGGGGAGCGGTAGTGTAGTGGTTAGCGTGCTGTCTGTGTGTCTGTGTGTGTGTGTCTGTCTGTGTGTGTCTGTGTGTGTGTCTGTCTGTGCGTGTGTGGTGTGTGAGGAGCGGTGGGTGTAGTGGTTAACGCTACGCTGCGCTACAAACCCGGCGAACCGAGTTCCATTCCCGCTCACGGCCACCACCGGTGACGATTATTTGAACCTCCCCTAGGTCGACTCGGCCTCAAACGAGTAACTGGTGTGGCGTATTAACATCGCCACTGGGGAGACAAAGGCGGCCGTGCGTGAGTGGTGAGGGAGGGAGAGTGGTGAGGGAGGGAGAGTGGTGAGGGAGGGACTCAGCCGCAAAATAAGTAACTGGTGTGGCGTATTAACATCGCCACTGGGGAGACAAAGGCGGCCGGCCGTCGTGGATACAAGTCCCGGGCGAAGCCGGGTAGTACAGCTAGTGGATGATACAATCATAACTAGGCTTGTATCCCTCTGCTGAACAAATTGCCCTACATCAGCTCTAGAAATCATGCAGTGTTGTGCTTTCGTATTTGTCAGTTTGATTTTGCAAAGGGACACATTTCTGTTTAGTCAAAGTGAGCAGAGATGCCTCGTACTTGTGTGAACAAAGCAGATAACTTCTGCTATTGTTGTGATGAAGTGACTTTTACATCACAAAAGCGCAGTATAACCACTAGTAAAAAAATTCCATCATTTCTTTTAGCTGCAAAATTGGAGATCAGAACAAGATGTGGGCACCACACATGCTGCAACACTTGTGCAACAAATCTTTGCCAGTGGTTGAACAGGAAAAGGAAATCTATGCCTTTTGCAGTGCCAATGATTTGGAGAGAGCAAACCGATCATATCAGCAATTGTTACTTCTGCATGGCGCCTCCAGTTCGTAAAGTGGACTTTGCATTATACAAACATTCCTTCAGCTACATGTCCAGTACCCCACGGAGAAGGACTGCCAGTTCCTGATGCACCAGAATCATTCTCCACTTGAGTCAGATGAGGAAGAGGATGAAACTTCTGGTCCTGAACCATCAAGGTCACATGACCCAGATTTTCTCCCATCCTCCTCTGAACCACACCTCATAACACAAGGTGAACTGAAAGACCTTGTCAGGGATTTAGAACGACCCAAGAGTAAGGCAGAGCTATTGGGCTCCAGACTTCAGCAGTGGAATCTCCTGGCAGGTGATGTTAGGGTTTCTATGTTCCGTGACCGTCAAAAGGATCTTGTCCCATTCTTCTTCATGGAAGGTTATCTTGTAGCCTGCAACAACATCGATGGTGTGATAGCAGCCCTCAACATCGTTCATGATCCAGATGAGTGGACACCTGATCATTCATTCATCGAAGATGAGTCTTAAAGCTGTTTTGCTGCCTAATGGCAATGTTTTGCCATCAATTCCAGTTGGTCGTGCAGTCCATATGAAGGAAACCTATGACAACATGAAGCAACTTTTGAGGTGCATACACTATGACCAACATCAGTGGCAGCTTTTTGGCGATTTGAAGGTTGTTGCTCTTTTGCTTGATCTGCAGACTGGTACACAAAGTACTGCTGTTTTTTCTGCTAATGGGATCGTAGTGCGAGTGATTCCCACTACATAAAGATAGATTTGCCACTCCGACAGTCATTGGAGCTTGTGAGGAAAAGTGTTCAGCATCCACCACTTGTTGAATCAAGGAAGATTTTGTTACCATGCTTAAACATCAAGATGGGTCTGATGAAGAACTTTGTCAAAGCCATGGACGAAACAAAGCAGTTTTCAAGTACCTCTGTGGAAAATTTCCAAGGTTAAGTGAAGCTAAGATAAAGGAAGGTGTCTTTGTTGGTCCTCAGATTCGTGAACTTCTTCGAGATGATGCATTTTACAGTGCACTGCGTGGCAAGGAAAAGATGAAATGGAAAGCCTTCCAGTTAGTGGCAACACATTTTCTCAGAAACAACAAGGCAGACGACTACAGGGAGTTACTGGAAAACCTCCTCAAGGCATACAAAAGCCTTGGTTGCAACATGTCACTAAATATTAATTTTTTGCACTCTCATCTTGATTTTTTCCCACCAAACTGCGGAGCAGTGAGCGACGAGCATGGCGAGCGATTTCACCAGGACATTGCAACAATGGAGAAATGCTATCAGGGCAAATTGAGCCCATCAATGCTTGCAGACTATTGCTGGACGGTGACAAGAAATGCTCCATTTAATGAATATGTAGTGACATAGAATGGTTAACTAAGGCACGTAGCGCTGGGTACTGGCAGAGAGGGGAATTTGTGAGTGTAGCAGCCCGGTCTGCCTGCAGGGCATGCAGTGACATAGAATGGGTCATTAGGGTGCGTAGAGCTGGTTGCTGGCAGAGAAGGGGCATCCGAGGACGTAGCAGCCTGGTCAGCTAGCAGGGCATGTGATAGGCCGGAGAAAGGGATGAAGGGCAAAGGTGACAGAGGGGACACGTGGGGTGAAGCCCAGAACCTTCGCGTAGGTTCCAGAAGGGGGCGTGGCCGAAGGCGAGGCCAGGCCACGCCGGGGGGATAAAAGGGAGGTCCCGTCACTGGGTCAGGGCTGTCGTCTGGAATGTAACCCGTCGTGCTACGTCTTCACCTCCTCGGCGTTGTTGCTGAGGCAGTGTGCCGGCTGTCCTGACCAGTTGAATAGTTATCCCCTGTGTCTGTGATGGTGGAATAAATGAGAGTGCCTCCTACTACTAGTGTGTCCGAAGTTACTCGCTACAAATACGAGACAGCCAAGAAGCACCGAGTTGACACTGAATAAGGACTAAACTATGTACTTTCTATAATAGTTTTTGCCTTTTGTTTCATAATACATTGTATTTATATAACCCTTTCGCTGATTTTTTAAAGTTTTAAATGAACAGGACAGGTGACATGTTATCATGTAAAGCAACCATAAACACATGAAAAGACCTAGGATTACAATTTATGAGTAATACTCTATCTACACTATACATAGATGTAAAATGTAAAAAACTTAAACATTTTGGGAACAGTAGCCAATCGGTTGTTTTAATTGTCATATTTGACTTCAGCACATCAAAATCCACAATAAACAGCACATTTAATATTTGAAACAGACGTCATCTAAAAAATTGTAGACCAGTGTAATACAAAAATGTGTATTTTTTGTAAATGCCTATGAAACAATATCTCACACTTAAATAATGCTTATATCCATAAAAAATGTGCTTATTGGGAGAGTATATTAAAGTATTGCACTGTGTTTTTTACATTTGTTTTGCGTATCAAAGAAACGGGGTTTGGTGTGAAAACGAAAGTAATTGTTACAGACTTCACGGGAGGAGTGGAAATTTATCCTCAAATTTCAAGTGAAATCGAACATCTCACCATTGGGGTTTTGGGTAAGTTTATCTCTGCTACTGTTGAGTTATTTTGTTGTGATAGTGCCAAAATAACGTTGTGTCCTCTTCTCTTTCTGATAACGACAAAATAACGTGTGTCCTGTTTCCAATTCCCCACGGGCATTTACGAATAATAGCGAGCATCCGTGAGTCCGCCATCGCCCCCTGCTACGACTATTGGGTGTAACGAGAAGTCTCTGGGAGTCGTTGTGTGTTAAGTCGTTGTTTTGTTTTGAGTCGTAGTTATCTGAGTCGTTGTGGTTTGTTGTTGGTGTTTGAGCGCTTCTTGAGGTGTACGGGTCTGGTTGTTTGAGTTAACATCAACATTATTTCTAATGATATACTAAAATTATAAAATTAACATTGCAATCTACTATATCATCAACTTTGATAATCTGATAACATGGTCAACATTATTTATAATATCGATAAACGATTATAATCTGTACATCGCATTCTACTGTATCAACTGACAACCTTTCTAACATGCAAAAAAAAAATTCTAACGATATTATATAAGCGATTATAAAAAAAGTAACAACATGGCATTCTACCTATCAATTTTGGTAAACCTAACACAGTTAACGTTATTTATGTATAGCTTTCAAATTCCGAAATTTGGGAGAAAAATGTAATTCCCGATTTTAGAGGGGGTGGCACAAGAGCCATGGAAGATGTAGGGTAAACTCCTGTACAATCGTAGCTTGTTTACAAAAGCAACTGCCATTGAGCCAAAAAAGCCTCCGTGGCACTCATTCAGATGTCTTGCCTTCAAGGGTCTTTCTTTGTAGCGTTCCAGAAAAAAATTGGGATAATCTTTTTTTATCCAAGAGGGTATGAAAAAAATACCCCCAGAGCGTATCCTGAAAATGATGGTATTTGGTCTGCCGGACTAACTTGGTGCATTAAGACTCGACAGTTGGTCAAGTTTGAGTCCAAACCGGGTTTACTTAGTCTTATTTTCCACTCCATCTCGCGGAAACTCCTATGTACTATGAAGAAGGGCTTTCACCCAGGAACATCATCAATTATATATTTCAATTAAAGCCACAATTGTTGCGCTGTTGAGTTGTTTTTGGTTAATTGTGCTTTGTGAACCGCTGCCAACTCGGGCACCGCCAATTCATTTGTTTTCCAGTGACTGAGCGAGTTACCGAGTGACTTTGCAAAGGTTGAGTGAATTAATTATGAATTTACAGCTTACATTGTATTGTTTGGATATGGAATTGGTGCATTCTATAAAAAGCTATACAGTAGAACTCTTATTTACCCGTGCTAACGATGGGGAGGGCAGCCACGGATAATTAAAATCACTGATCCAAAAATATAACCATATTGCCACGGATTTCTAGGCCAACACTTTATAACACTTTCCTGTTACTGCGCATAACAAGACTGCCCACTGAGTGGACAGCAGCAGAGCCACAACCAATCAACAACAAACTACGCCCACTGTTGTGAAGATATTGCAACTACTGTAATGTAGCGCGATCACGTGGATTTCAGATTAACCAGAGCACATATTTGTTCGGCTTAAGCACGTGGCTTGTAATAAAGATTTCTAATAATAATAATAATGTATAACTCTTTATTGACTATTAATATGAGCTGGGGAAAATCCGTGAGTTTTTCTTTTTTTATCAAAATCTCAGGTGCGCGGTTAAATCGGATAAACCGATAATCGAGAGTCTGCTGTAATTTGTACATTTTCAATTTGCAGTGAACAATGTTGGAATGACATTTCATGAATATGGAGGTCACTTCCTCAACACGCCTGCAATCGATAAGGTATGATGGGTGTGCACTGTTGCCACCGTTATTTTAGTTTCATATACATCCATGTTGGTAACCATCAAACCCAAGTGACTGTAGGTATTGTAGCTCAAGATCAGTGGTTATTAAACTTCAATGCAGCCTTGCAACCCTTTGGTTCTCGGAAAGGTAATCTCGCACCCCAAGGGGTGCATGCACCCCTGATTAAGAACCACTGTTCTCGATAAATAAACAAGCCACCACGTTGCGATGTTATTTTTGAGCACATTTGGCTCTTTATTTTTTTACATCAAGCGGCCAGCAATGGATGCAGCACTATCAAAGCTGTCGTCGATAATTAATTAGTCAACACCTTTCTAGAATTGAGCAAGGTTAGTATAGTCGTCCATAAGAGTTTTTTTTTAGGTTAGATAATGCAAATATGAATGTGTTAAACCCGCCACCACCCGACAACCAATTGGTAAGGTTTTTCACGTAAAGAAACCATGGCAATTCGTTACTAGTTCAGCACACCGGTGTGTTGGAGAGTAAACCCACAACAATTGGATTTACTCTCCAACACACCAGTGTGCTGTACGAGTAACAAATTGGCATGTTCTGTTCATGAGACAAAGCTTACTACTTGGCTGTCTGGTGGTGGCGGGTTTAACGACACATTTATATTTACGCGATCTAACCCAAAAATCTCTTTTGGATAATATTGGTCACGAAAGGCTACTACGTGTTAAACTTTAGGGAATTATTCCAAACTGCGGTGGTTAGATGAGGCGTGGATGAGACGGAACAGTGAGTCTGGCGGACCGAGTCTGCGGCATGGGTGGCGGAATCACCGAGTGACGTTTCCTGGGAAGAGTCGCCGTGGTAGTAGCGATGGAAGAGTGCCTGCAGGTGAGCGAGTTTGCTGGAATGAACTTGTGAGTGCAGTCATCAAACGACTTAATAATTTGTCTGACGGTTACCTTTTGGAAGGGATAGAGTTTGCGGGAGAATTAACAGCTGATGAAGCGACACGCAGTAAATGTTATACGATCATAATTCAACACAGACACATGTGTCAACACTCATGCACACAAAATGTACTCAGAATTATCGCCGTGAATTATGCTCCTAATTTACTTGTTGCTATTTTTCAGAGGATTGTGAAACTGCTCAACTGTAACATTCTGTCTGTGACAATGGTGAGTGCTCTTTATTGCCATTTACGATCAAGTAGCAGCGCTTAAAATTATTTGACGATGCGCCGGCATTGCTGTGAGGTATTATTGTTGTTGTTATTGCCAAACAGTTCAGTGCCGACAAATATTCACTGCCCGTTTCTTTGTACTTCTAGATGGCAAGCATCGTGCTTCCGAAAATGGTGGCAAGGTAAATGTGCCAATCGTGCCTTCGGTCCTCATTGCAGTCTCCAACAGAGGTTCAGTATAGACAAGTGCATAGGTGGAGTTTGACTTGTATATTTGGAGTGGTGGAGGGGGGGTAGCATGGGTTGTCCCTCACATGAGGAATAGCGGGTGCATATCATTAATTTATTTTGTAATATTAATTGTTAACTACTGAAAATAAATGTATAAAAGTGGCTCAGTTTGGGAGGGATACATTGCCTTGGTGGAAGTTTGTGAGAGAAAGACCATCATAACAATGGCAGCTTAGAATGCTCAATGTCTGTTATAAATGTGTTTTTCTTATTAAGGTTTGAATTGTCATATTTAAAATTAGTAGTGCTTTTCTCCTCTGCCAAGGCCTGCGCTTGACCTCTTGCGCTCTTCGGTTCGGAAAATTCCTTAACCCCGTCCCAAATTGCCCTCTTGTGTTCTGCCTCACCGCTTTGCTGTGTCCTTATGTAGTGATACCGACACATTTATACTTCGTTAAGAGCTTTTATTGTGAACAACAACACTATACCTAGGGCCGGGGTTCGGTTTTTGATGCTTGGACTTCGTCTTCTCTCCAAGCGTCCCTTGCCCTTTGTGCTGTCCTATTTTATATCCCTCTAGGCCCCTTTCTCGAAGGTTCGCTCACCCCATTTCCCTCGGCAAATCCTTCTTCTGTAACGATTGTCAACCGTTACCCCGACAGTCCACCCTCGTTTCCCCGCCTTTCCCCGCCTTTTACATTTGCATTTCTCTACCAATGAGTTAAATCTGCCCCTAACCAATCCTCTTTGAGGCCTCCCTGTACCAATCAGAGGCCTTTAACACACTTCCTGACTATTCGTTTGCACACTTACCATGTCAGGTAAGTGGTCTGTTATTAGGGTCGCAACCTCTTCCACTGTTGACTAAACCCAGATATGTGCCTCAGTTAGCCTAGATCTATTATCAACGCTATGCAGTCTACTGTGATGAACTTCAACGCAGTACCACTGGATCTTGTTAAAAACTAATCCCTGGCACCCAATCACAGATGCCAATTCCTGGGATGACTGGGTCAAACCTGAACAGCTGGGAACCCAAGTGCAGAGGGACTTCAAAGAATGACATATATTTTTGGAGGCAGCGTTGATTAAAATTAATTAAATTCGTTCATAAATAGATAGCACTAAACGCAGGTCATACTCTGCACATCTCTGTAGCTGGCAATTGTGATCTATCCCAAAGCCTTTCCCTTTACAAATCAGAGCTTAAAAATCACACCTCACCACCCCCATGCAACCCTATCTCCCTTCGCATATATAACCCGAACCCCTTTTTAATGCCTCCTCCCCCATCTTAAAAAAAATCTGCCCAAAGCACCCCTTCATTCATCGTCTTCAATAGCCCTAAGAAACTGCTCCTCATCACAACCGAACAACAGTCCTTTTGCCAAACTGCCAAATATTTCCTGTTTTCAAGAAAAAACCTGAGATTTAATCGTATCCCCTTAAACCAATATCTAATATAAAGGGTCCTTGCATACAAACATCTGGAATTTCACCAAGCAAGCCTTGACTGCTGAAGAGGCAATAATTGTTATTAACTAATCCAGAGTGTTGCTTGTGTATGGAGGTTACAAAACGTTTCCCAAATAAAATGTAATAATTCACTGCTCATCAAAGGGACAAGTTTAACCATTTAACTGCCTGAATCGCCCAATCTTTCATTTACAAAGGGTTGCTGGATACACACGCCAAATATATTCATGGGATAGGGGTCGGCAACCTGCAGCTCAGGAGCCACATGCGGTTCATTTAGGGACTGCATCGTGACTATGGTAATGACTTGTTGATATCTGTCCGATTTTGACCCGGTACAGTGCGGGAACTGGCATCTATGGCAGGAATTCTTTCGCACTTTCTTCGTTATTTGAATAGCATTTGAAAGCAGAAACTGAATATAATTGTAAGCCATTCCATGGCATCCGGGGTAGCTGAGTAGAGTCTTGCTTGTTCCACCAGAACATGCGTGTTATATTGGGTAGTCATAAGTGCTAAGTGAAGCTACTGGACATTGCTATATATTCTGATTTTGATATGCACCTCATGGTTTGCACCTCATCGCATTTGCAGTTTGGTGGGCTCTTGTTGTTCCATTCAAGCAGGAAATATCCACACCGTCAACGTGCTTGTTTGGAGACGGCTGAGAGCGGATAGAGAGAAACCGAGGCTGTTCTTTCGTTGAGATTATTTAGATTATTTTGGTGCTATAAATGCCCAAATTATGGGCCAATTTGTTGAGCTATCATTTGTTGCCAGGTTGCTTCTGAAAAATACGTTAATACCTTGTGGGCTTTGCCTGGTAAGATGGGGATCGTTTAGTTGTATATTTATGTGTTTGGGTGATTTTTTTACCTTTCTTCTACTTTGCACTACTATCATGTTTTTCGCACTGTTTGTTGTTGTTACGTTCTTACCCGCCCCTACTGAATATCTCGGAAAAAGAGCTTTATCGCTCATCGGATTCCTCCTTTATAAATACATATTCTGATTCTGAAGGTTGTCTTGATTGGGGCTCCGCTGGTGTGCTAAGTGTTACTCCACTGGGTAGTATAGTTGCTTGTTGGGCTCGCAGAAGAGTCAGGGCTGTTTGTCTGAAATGGACGTCTCGATTTCAAATGGGAGGGGGGGGGGATTTGATGTCGGAATCCAGTTTTTTTTTTCAAAGAGCTTACACTCCCTAATTGTTGCAGCATTCCCAATGGATGTTCAACAACGAGATATTCACGAGTACTGGCAGCCACCACGGTGGCCAAGTTTTATGAAGCTGCTGTGTTGATGTCTGAAGGGTCTCAGTATCACATCTCCAGGAAATCTCTGCCAGCTTTTGGATGATGTTGACCCTGGATTTAATGGTCTTGTTGGTAGCTTAGAGTTTACTTAGATCTTGTTATTTACTAAAATGCAGTATTGATAGATCTAGGTTGACTGAGAAATTTGCATGGGTTTGGTCTACAGTAGAAAAGGCAATGTGTTTGATTATCATTGGCACTTGTGTATTCCTCCTGTTAGCCGATTTTAGTGTTCATAGTTCCAAACCTACCCGAGGAAGTTGAGAGCATACACCCCTTTTTGCTTGGCGACAGTTTATTCACAAACATGTGTCTTTGGAGTCAGGAAAGTAATTCTGTGAAAACATTGCTAACACAACAATAACAATACACTGGTGGGAAAACCTCCAGCAAGTGCTAATAAAACTCTCGAGAATCCCATGGTCTCTATGTAAATTCCCTGCATCATCACTACAGCTATAGTTACTGCAGCACCTGTCCCGGCGATGTCTTCCCAGCGTTGCACGGGTTCCCTCTGTTTGCTCTGTAATCTCTCCCAGGTTCCCTTTGAGTGTTCAATAGTCTCTCACACATTCATTTATCAGTGCTCCATAGTATCTCTTAGATTCCCCCTGAGTGCTCCGTATTCTCTCCCAGGTTCCCTCGCGAGTGCTCCGTATTCTCTCCCAGGTTCCCTCGCGAGTGCTCCGTATTCTCTCCCAGGTTCCCTCTGGATGCTGCATAGTGTCTCCCAGGTTCCCACTGTGTACTTCATAGTCCAACCCAGGTTCTTGCTGAGTACTCCGGAATGCCACCCAGGGCTCGGCTGATTTGTCCGTAGCCTTGCCTGCTACCCACTGGTCTTGAGTCCCAGTCATACACTCCCTGCTTTTTCCGATCACCATCAGCCACAATGTCAACATCAGCAACATCACCGTTAGCCACATTGTCAACATCAGCAACATCACCGTCAGCTACATTGTCAACATCAGCCACATCTACACCATCAGCCACATTGTCAACATCAGCAACATCATCACCGTCAGCCACATTGTCAACCTCAGCAACATCATCACCGTCAGCCACATTGTCAACATCAGCAACATCTACACCATCAGCTACATTGTCAACATCAGTAACATCATCACCATCAGCCACATTGTTAACATCAGCAACATCTACACCATCAGCTACATTGTCAACATCAGTAACATCATCACCGTCAGCCACATTGTTAACATCAGCAACATCTACACCATCAGCTACATTGTCAACATCAGTAACATCATCACCATCAGCCACATTGTTAACATCAGCAACATCACCATCAGCTACATTGTCAATATCAGTAACATCACCGTCAGCCACATTGTCAACATCAGCAACATCTACACCAACAGCACAACCATCGGCAACATCATCATCATCTGGGCCCTATAATTATGATCACAACATCACCACGACTATTATCACTGCAATCGCCCCTCAGCACTGCACCATATGTTTTTTCAAAAACATTTTGTTTGTTCTTGTTTTCTAATTGGTTTGTATTTATTTCAGGAACAAAGGTGTGATCATTAACATCTCGTCTGGCATGGCAGCACACCCGTTTCCCTTGCTAACGATGTACACATCATCCAAGGTAACCCCCTTTTGAAATGCAAATAATAATATAACATTAACTTTTATATGGTCACGTGAATGATTATTAAACAAAAAAAATTCTTTAGTATCGTTGTGACTGACTATTTTGTGTTCATGTCATACCCGTAGACCCATACATTTTACACGTATTCTTGTACAGGGAAATTGAGTTTTCAGGTCCATACGGCGTACAGCCGTTTCAATAGGGGCAAAAAATAAGTTTTGTTTCTATTTCCCCCTTGTGATGGGGCTTTGCAGGATGAACGTTAAGATTTATAAGGGCACGGGGTGACCAATATGGTCTGAATTGGTCTGTAACAAGGTAGGCACTGATAAGGGGTTGCAAGCTATGCACTGGGGAAGCGCCTGGGTGGGTCATAGTGCTCCGAGTGACAGCACCGGACCAGCAGTACTCATCTGTGTGCGCCCAATTGAGGTGACTGATTAATCCGGTTCTCCTGTGTAATGAGATCAATGGTTTGAGCCTTAATGTCCTTTCCTTTTAAAAGTTCCAATATAACAGTATAACCTCGGCTAGCTCTCGTAACATGACAATAGAACCCTGGCTAGCTGGACTATTGTGGGGGAGCCCTATTTTATTGAGCTGAGATGTCCAGCTTTTATTGTGTGAACAATACATCAGTGTGTGTGGTGCCAGTCATTTCAGTCCGTCAACCTATGGCACCTGGGTTTGCCCAGTGACAGGTGTTCAACACTTTACGTGGCCCTAAAGTGGCACAGGCGCCGTGGTGACATCACCGTCACCTCGTGGCGAATACCAATTGTTTTACTATACAGACCAAAACGTGCTGTACAGTACATATTGCGTGTTGTGTACTGAAACCAAGAGCCACTTCCTTCAACCAGACCTTACCGTTCACGCTCCGGAGTTCTGTGAAGGGCCTGTCTCCGACGACGCGGGTCAGGAGCAGCTTCAGATGAAACCTCTCAGAATGTCGTGGAGACGCAGGCGGCCCGATCGGATGGATCGTTTTGAAATGGTCCGTCCAATTGTTTCGCCGGGTTTCAATCGACGCTTCCGCTCTTTTGGCTCTGCAGTGCCATGCGTAAAGGTCACGGGGATCTCGGAATAGAGCGGGGGAGCGCACTTTGGGATTCGCGGCCTTTTGAGGGGGAAGGAAATGGTCGGAGTGCTTTGTGAGTCGTCTTCTCCTTCTCCACGGTGTCCGCTTCTTGACCCTCCTCGTAGACGACAGGAGTATCTTACAGGACATCAATTTTGCCAGTATCAAGGTATAAAAAACATGAACAACATCTCCCAAACCCTTTGGGGAACCTCTTTTTACAACTTTCCCCGCCAAGAGGCGGGGAAGTCTGCGAGGTCCATGGAGCAAGCAGTCCACGACAATCGCGTGGTTCTCAGGATCTGAGTCCAGGACGGATAACTCTGCAAGGATGATCCCATCCACTTGCTCTGGGCGACGGAGTTTGACCGCGGGCTCAATCGTGAATGGCGCATGGAATTGTGGCGCACCGCACTTCTGCAGCTCGAAAGTGTAAACATAGGCGACCATCTTTCTGAGCACATCGGCTTTGCACGGAGATTGCGGGCCACAATCGTGGGGATGTCCGTAGCTGTGTTCGTTCCTTTCATCCCTCCAAGGATGCATTGCATCTCGGGCCAATGTGGGTTGCAGATAACTGTTCGGAACAGGTCAGGCCGTCCGAGGCATCCAACCATGTTGTATGAACTGGGGGCTGCCAATGTACATTGTGGGCAGAACGCACGTGTTCCCACAAACATTCCCAATCCGAGACAGTTTTTTGTCGGTGAGAACGCTGGAACTCACGTAGTCCATCAGGGCCTCGTAGCACTCGATCCTGAGGTTTTTTTGGTGATGTCTGATTTAGCCCAGGTGGGTTACTCCATAATGATGTACGCACGGACCACTTGCTGTCGTGATAAGACGACCACAGTTGTGCACGGCGTTGAACCCCTTGCGGTGATCCAAATTGAAACTAATGTTGGAGTGGAGTCATCTTTTTGCCTTCAGGTCCAGGTCTTCTCTGGTTCTCAAACAAGAGTCTAGGTCCAAACGTAGTCGCCTCCAGGGGAACATCTGCGGAAACAGAACCCGATCTACCAGATGTGGCTCCGCTCGACCGTTGGGTATATCCGCAGGTCTATGTTCGTCAGACTGGAGCCATCCATACTCTTGAAGATCGTAGCACATCCGTTTACTCTGGGAATTTTGTATCGCCACTTGTCATCCGTATCCAACCTCAGGACACACAGGGACACCGTTGACAGAAGGAAACCTATTCTTATATTTTGGTACTGGCAAAGGAGGTCCCGTGGTGTAGATGCTCACCCGGAGCTCGAATTACTCTGATAGTGCACTGTCTTTGAGCTGTACGCCTCGAACGCCGTTTGAAACGAAGCTCAAAAGGAAGCTGTCACTGGTGTGGACCAATCAGTTTCAAGGACAATGCATATATTATCAGAGTTTTTTTTTTGCATTCTTACCACAAGTGTTGTGGTTAATGCACACATGATTTCTTGTAAAAAGGTTTCGGTTTTGTTTCCAGAAAAAAGGGGAAAAACCTATTCTAATATATTAGTACTGGCAAAGGAGGTCCCATGATGGTAAAATAAAATATTTTTTTTCGTAGTTTAAGTTTAGTTTGTGCTGCCAAAGTTTCAGGCATTCTTGCTTTCTCATCATGTCGTCTCGCTGTCTTCCTTTTCTGCCTCTTGATTTATTTTTAAGCCTTACGGCACTTGATTTTTTATGACTCTTGATATCATATTTTCTGTATTGCATCTCTTTCCTTCAGTACCGTCTGTGCTATCTGACCTTCTGCCTCTGGATGATGTTTCTGTTAACTTACATGTGGTAATAAAACACCATAGTGTCCAGCATCTCTAGTCCCACTCTACAAAAGGACCTATGTCTGTGGGGACTTATCTTCTTGGTTCTTTCAGTAAAGCCACGTAGAAGGGAAGTAATAAAATAATAAAAATAAAACCTAAAACAATTCTCACGACGTTTCGGCCACAACGCAAGTAGCCGTCCTCAGGTGAAAACCAGGTCTGTCGAGGCGACAGCGTCTGAATGAAACAGCACACGTGCTTGGAGCATGTATATAAGCTGGGTTGGAAGGGGGGAAAAGGGCCCCTTGACAAAAGAATATGCATATCAAGAGGAATTTAGCATATTTATGGGAAATGCAGGTATGTGATTAGTACTACTTATGCCCGTGCATTATGCAGGATTAGCAGCTTCAAAGGAAGGGGATATGGGAAATGCAGGTATGTGAATAGTACTACTTATGCCCTTGCATTATTCAGGATTAGCAGCATCAAAGGGAGGGGATAGGGGTAGCATTAATAAAGGGAAGGCGTGTTAATAGTATGTAGCTGCAGTAACTAAAACCACCATGTAAACAACTAAAGTATAAACTACATATTATCATAAGTATACTAAATATACTCTACAATAAGCTGAGTTACTAACAGTAAGTAATACATTACAATTCTACATCGTAAAAAAATATATAATATGCTTCCATCTAAGCTTTATTCTCTTACATCACACGCGTCTACACCGTACTATATACTGCCATAGAGAAACCCAACATTAAATTATATACTGTATTGCTATAAACCACCTTATACATTGTAATATTACACTATGTATTATTCTACCCACCCTAATGTATATCACACTGCTGTATATTCACTATACAATTACGATACTATACATTACTTTGTACATTGTATTAAGCATATAAATGTTATACTATTTGTTATTATACACTGTACCATTGACCGTCGTGTGAAAGATACTTAGAGGAAGCAACGAAATATGTCAATGGGAGAGTAGTGCAAGGGAACTTGCAGCGGAGCAAAGAATCCATTCCCTGCAGGGAATACAATGCCGGTGAGTGGAACGCGGTCTGAAAGTCACCGTAAACGTGAACACAATCAGTTAAGATCTGAAATGGTTTATTACGTCCTTCCAATGATTGCTAAGCCAGAATCCATCTTCTCGGTTGAAATTGTCTCTGTGTTTGTATAGGTGGATCGCCTCATGAACGAATCTCTCATGGTAGCCAGATGACTTGCAGATAACCTCTGTCTTGGAGAAGTCAATATCATGTGAGCCCACTGAAAACGACCGAAAGACTTGCACGGTCGTAAGCAAGCAAGCAAGCACGCAATCACGCAAGCAAGCAAGCAAGTGAACTTAATTTAAATGATTTAAAAATAAGAGCAAACTACGGTTACATTTTTCACTGCAAGAATCACTACTGTACGATTCTTACGTGAGAAAGTATCAAAAGTCTTGGAAGAGGTAAAAGAGTACCCACACTTTACCCCACCACACGTGACCTGCCGAGAGTCTAACTGCTGCTCCCGTTTATACTGCTTGGGTGCACAGAGGCACTGAGGATTTAATAAACTTGCACCATTGTTTCAGCTGCGGGAGGTCAAATTGAACAACTTCTGGATTGCCATTTCAGTGTTCTGACCATCACAGTGATCTGCCACGGCTGAGGTGTTTGTCCTACCGTGTTTCAAGTCTGCTTTATGTTCACGGATGCGGTCCGAGACATGTCGTTTGGTTTCTCCAATGTAACTGCTACCATAAATATGCTAAATTCCTATTGATATGCATATTCTTTTGTCAAGGCCCCCTTTTTCCCCCTTTCCAACCCAGCTTATATACATGCTCCAAGCACGTGTGCCGTTTCATTCAGACGCTGTCGCCTCGACAGACCTGGTTTTCACCTGAGGACGGCTACTTGCGTTGTGGCCGAAGCGTCGTGAGAATTGTTTTATTATGTTTTATTTTTATTATTTTATTACTTCCCTTCTACGTGACTTTACCGAAAGAACCAATAAGATGAATCCCTGCAGTCACGAAATCTTTAAATCGAAATCTGTGGGGACTGGCAATGTATTGTTTTAGACACGGGCTTCTATTGTAGCAAATTTCTCACTGAATGCCCCAATTTCTATATGCCCACCGTATATACACCAGAAGGGTCCCATATAATGATCATATTCCTCACACGTAAAACCAACAATATACTCCTGAATCCTCCCCCAGTTGTTAACAACATGCTCCACAGCTTCAGCTCTTAGGATGGGATCATGAAATATGTGGCCTCTTATAAGGACCACAAAAGAATTGAAGAGGCCATTGGCTAATTTTGGCATCGGTAGAACGCATCGGTAGAACATTTCTCGGGTTAACAGAATGATTATACATGTTTACAACACACTACGTGGTAAGATATTATTGGGTCCGTGACGAATAATGAAATACTAAAATTGGCTACATTGTTGAATCAAAAATAGTATTAAGAACATAACTTAGCATGTCGTGACCGGATAATGGCAATACTCTTTGTACTGTATATGTAGATGCCATTTAACTGTCAAAATAACTGCCAGTGGCCTCGAAAGGCACGACAACTTATTGTCAAGATGAGTATTATAGTCAGCATTGCACATTGCTTGCTAACCACTTTTAAATGCTATTTGCGGACATTTTCAGCCGTACACTACCCCTGTTTGCTGCTCTTCGTGGACTTCCTTTTATTAGCATCGATGATTTCAAGGGATGATGGGGATGATATGAGTGTGTTTCATCGTTTTTGAGAATCAAAACATATCCTCAATACGTTATTGAATACCGAGGCCGCCGTCTTGAAGGCCGTTATCTTGAAGGCCGTCTTTGTTTAATGTCTGGTAGCCTAGCAAATCTATAATTGTGTGCATGCCAGCCAGCCAGCAAAACTTAAAATATATAAATATAGTATGAAGATTTTGTAAAGTGTTCTAGTTCAGTTGCTTACATTACATATTCTAGAGTATTTTACGTAAAAAATATTTCTTATTTTATGCGATAATATCCATTTTAGATTATGTTTCTATTTGCTGAACTTTGCAAATTTTGGGAAGCCTGGGTTGTGAGAGGCAGGTTTTTTATTGCAGTATTCAACTAAACGGTCAAATATATTACATACTCATTTTACCGGCGTTAGTTAATAATGTCTTTGTAGCTACAAAGCAAGTAATTTTGTCTTTTTAGCAATGTTTTGTGTGCCACGATCTGGCGATGAAGCTGCACCGCCTCTTGCAATGACTCCTCTGTGTCTGTAGAGGGCAGAACAGCCAATGTAACCGGTAATGTGGTAGATGGGTTTAAACCACGAGAGTTTCTTATATTTGCGAATGTCCAGGTTGAGAACATGTGCTGAGCCACAATAGTCGACTTTGAATTTAATTTAAAGGGACATTCACGCAATATATTCGTGAATTAAATAAAAATTGCAGACATACGACACTTTGGGTGCAAACCTATACAAACTGAGCTAGCCGGGCAGTTGGGGCATGGTGTAAAAATCATCATAATCATCAGCTGTGATCTGTGCTGCTGAATGGGGCGCCACGGTGGCGAGGTGTTAACTACCTCACCTGGTATTGAGGTCGTGGACCCTTACGCCTCTTTCTTTGGAGTTTGCATGTTCTTCCCGTGGTCGCGTGGAATTTTCTCCGGGTCCTCCGCTATTTCCCTGCACATTTAGAAACATGCGTTTAGAGAATTTGGCTGCTAGAAATGTCCACACATTAAGCCACTTGGTTGAGCTATTATTTGTTGGCCGGGTCGCTTCTGAAAAGAGCTACATAGCTCAGTGGGCCCTTAGTGAATAAAATAGATTGCACGAGTGGGTAAAAGAGTGCAATAAAAAATTCGTGAACGCAAGGGGGCACATGACTCAATGACTGACTGCTTGATGTGTTTTTATATTCCATTCACAACCACTGCCCCACCTCCCAATATGCTCCAGCTAATCTGAACGCTAAGACCAACGTGGTCTTTATTACTGAAACATCCTGCATACATTAGAGCATGCTTGGATGTCTACCACAAGTACGTGTGGTTAATGCAGACTTGATTCCTTGCAAAATGTATCTATTTGGTGTTTAAACATCTTGACAGCTGTTTTATTTCCAAAAATGGTAAAACCTATTCTTATTTTTCATAACCTACATATAGACTATCGAGTGGTTCTTGTGCAGATGTGAAATTTCGCCCATATTAACGAAACAAGGGTTGAAAACCCAGGATTGTTATAGGTTGTGTTGGCTGGTCGTCTGATTGTCCTGTAAGGTGGTGTTAATTTAAGGATAGAAATGCCAAACAATACTATTAAAATGCTTACTTGCACTGTCATGTTCACCTGCATTTTCTGCCTTTAGATTTTTACAGATTATTTTTCAAGAGCATTGCATGCCGAATATAAGGACCGTGGGATCATTGTGCAGGTAACCATGGCCATGGCCGGAGACTTGTGTTGATCGTTCTCAAACACCTCACAGTGAACATAATAACACAAAGGACGGTTGGTGCAATGAGACATGGAGTGCAAACTCTTTGTAAAGTACTGCCATTGCCTCCAAAAAAAGCAAGGTAATTCACATTTAATCCCGAACATTCATGAAAACCAGCCCAGTGGCTCAGCGGTCAAGTGACCGGCTCGGTGGGAAAATTGTGAGTTCAAGTCCTGGTTGGGGGTTGACTCAGCCCATCATCCTTCAGGCTGCGTAAAATTGGTACTGCTCTGTGGGGGGGGGGGGGGGGGGGGAGTCAAGAGTGTGTTATGGATAGACTCGCCCCCCCCACCTATGAATGTGGAATTTACATCACTAGCTGCGTGCTGTAAATGGGAGATGAGCACCAATGCCTCAATTCTCACTCAAGCAGGAAATCACTTTGATTTAATTCCTCAGAAGCTGGATGTTGTAAACAACATATGTGTACGCAAAAAAAAGCGTCTACACTTTACTGCAATTCTAAAGAGTGACGGGAATATTAGACTTTTCAAAGGAGTTGATGGTATTGCGAGTGGAATAAGTGGTTAATAAGGATAAGAAAACACAGCAGATGATTGTGAAACCCACGGTCAATGGTCAAGTTATCAGATTGGCTACCATTAGCTGGTGTGTTTATTGAACTATCAAAAAGTTAGAAATTCAGGTTTGCAGATTAGATCGAATGCCAAATGATGGTAGCTTTGCCAATGAGTGCGAAATGCCAGACACAATGTGTTCTCATGGCTTGTTTTCCCACAGAGCGTGTTGCCTTTTTTGGTATCAACAGCAATGACCCAATGGAGGCAGCCTGGCTTTTTCATACGGAAGCCAGACCAGTTTGTTCAGGAAGCACTGAGAACTGTTGGTCTAACCGAGAGGACACATGGCTGTTTAGCACATGGCCTGCAGGTGGGTTTCAATGAATATATATTTATCAATACATAACAATAAATATACACCCACATTAAATTGCAACTGTTGCCACGATTGACACTGGCTTTAAGGACAAAGCAGGTTAGATTGTTCAAGGGGCCTCATTGATGCTACAATAATCTGGACACAAATATCACGTGCGAGTTCCTCTGCATCAATGCTGGCATTAGCTGGGTCATGCAGTTCTGCATGTCAGCCACTAACAAGCCTGATAATTTTTGTTAGACCAGAGGAGGCGAAGTGAGGACGCGGGGGATGTTTGTAGGAATGAGCTGTTTTGGAATGGGGGGGGGGGGGGTTGGGGTACAGGATGTGGTGCAGGAGAATGTGGAACTGAATAGCCCGAGCTCGTGCCAGTGGCTTGTAATGTCCCCTGTAGATGGGGCAAGGGAATATACCATCACATGAGGCAGGAGAGAGTGCATATATCTGTCAGGTTCCCTGCTCAGCTGATTGGCAGTTGCTGCTGTTGTGCATACTAACATGATGTTATTTTTTGCCTTTGCAGGGATGGCTGATAAGTTGGATTCCTGCTTGGATACTGTCGAGTAAATATGCCCTACGCAAAGCAGTGTCCATCATGAGGCTACATAAACACAAATTATGATTTTGGATAAATTTGTCAACTTACCACGAATAAATATTCATGAGGCGTTCTGTGTATGCTTATAAGTCTAGCTTATTGAATCACATACTGCACAATATATAAACTTCAACACATAACACCGTTACATTTGATGTGTATTGTGCATACGTAATACAAGCTGGATATGTTTAATAGTCTTTGCCCAGGAAAATTTCACTGTGTCTAGAGTATATGATGGGCATACTTTATTCAGTTGGTTGTTTTGACTTATTTTTCGTGGCAGGAAACTGCAGTGGACACATTGACCTCACACACAGCACAATTCACCGACGCTTGGCACACACGTGTTAGGTCTCTGTGGTGTGTACATACATACAGCGTACCCTGCAGTGGCAGATAACCCATTACGTACTCGCTGTGAAATAATAACACTCTTTCATTAAAGATGCAATTAATTGATTTTCAACCGTTTAAGTATGGAGATCCCCCCCCCCACCGGTTCCCCGTGCACCCCCCTCTCCCCAAAGTCCACTCATGGCAACTCTACACAGCTATTGGCACGCATGAGTTGCTGGAACACATTGCTCAAACTGTGGTAACATTCTCCTCAGGCGTGTTTCCCTTCCTTTGGCCACCACTCGGTCATTAGTCTCACCTGCTGGCCATCATCAACACCATCATCCCTTCCAGCCATCACGTGTCCTGCCCAAGCCTCATCTTTCACTGTGGAACATCCCTCAATGTCCACTCTCCTAGCTGTAAAGAAAATACCATTCTTAAAATGTAGCTGTGCACTTTTGGAACGGGGCACCTCTGTGCTAGTTATTGCCAGGAGACAGTTTTGGTCTAATTCCAAATACCATTAGAGAGTGGCAGATGCTGCATTATAGCAACACTGGCTGCACACACAAACTACCCGTGATAAACTCCACGTGCGACTCGTATTCGTAATTTCTCCTGCACGGTATCCAAGTCGCAGTCTGCACATTGATTGACTTTGCAACCTGTGGGTGGCGGTTCCAGGGTGCTGTGAAGAGGGACATCTCGTCAGAAAGCCACGTGACAGCAGATTGCACGCGGCTGCCTGCGCGTCCCTTAAGTAATAATTAGGGGGGGGGGGGGGGGGTGGTGACGCGGCCTAGTGGAAGCACATTCGTCGCTTGTTGCTGAGGTTCACGGTTTGAATCCGGCAGGCCGCCCTGGTTAATGCTACAGCGTGTTAACCCCATGACACTACGCACCATCTTTACAGTGGACGTTAAAGATCCCGTGACGTCATTCGCATTGAGTAGGTCATTGTGTGGCTCTGCGTCATTGTCCACATTTACTAAATTCGAAACGTTACCAGCGAACTACTCCGCGGGGGGGATTACACAGAGCAGCACTCATCGCCTCCTACTGACAGAATGCCCACTTGCAGGCCGTTCAGTCATCTTGTGCCGCACATAGACAGCTGCCACTGACGGGGGGGGGGGGGGAGCTTTGAATGTTTGAGGCAGAAATACATGAATAGAAAAAACACATTTTACAATTTAAAATAGCTTAATGGAGTCATGTTTTCTGCTTTGGTGATTTTCAATTATATTTCTTATGAATAAAGATGTATTTAGTCAATGGGGGTCCTCTGATCATTATTTTACATTGAGCTGTCTCGACATTCCTAATAGCGGGCCACTTGTCATGCCATTTTGCATCGAGGTCAAGGGGTCTGCATGGCTACATTAACATGCACGGTTTTCGCAGCCAATACTGTACTCTGATTCATATTAGATTTGTTTGGGTTGCAAGCCTCGTAATGATCCTGGTGTTTATCTTTACTTCCTGGATCTTGTCCTGAAGATGACTGGCGCAGTCGCAAAGTGAAAGTGCCCAATTATGTTGTGAGAATTGTTCAACTGAAACATTACACACTTGTGCACGCGACTTTTTTTTTGTTTGGCCGTGTCAGGTGGTGGAGGGTCCCGCGACAAACCTGTCGGGATCATTCGGTGGCCTGACCCACATCTCAATCGTGAAGCACGGCTGATACCCGTGCCACTGTTTTCCCCGTTGACAGTGAACGCGACTCAGGAGGGATAATGACCGACAGTAGCCGTCTCCCGCCATGCGAGACGTGGCACTGCTGCAGGGGAATGGGGGTTGGTGCAATGGATTGTGTGAGGAGCTCACGACTGGACATCTTTGAAAGTGTACAGCAGGGGTCGGCAACCTTTCAAAGAAGTCCCTTTTTTTGTCCTTGACCAAAATAGTCCGAGAGCTGCATCACACGCGGAGCTACTTGTTCAAATACACAGTAGGTATGTAGTGGGTTCCAATTAGGTTCACACACAGCTTGGAGGCAACACTTTATTAAACGGTAAGTAATATAACACTGTACATAAGGTGGTGACCACCTTCCTCAACTCACTAACACTCTGGAACACGACACAGAGTGGACCAGGCAGGCAACGGGCTGCCTGGTCCAGGACGACGACCCGGGACTTGAGGACCGATGATGTCTTCACTTCGGAGTTCAACAGCCCCGCTCTGCATCCACACCCCGCTTATATCCGCTCCGGCGTGGCCGGCTCCGCCCAGGCCACGCCTCCCTTCCCCCAGCTCACGGGAAGGTCTGGGTCCCTCCACCACGTGACCCCCCCCCCCCCAGGCACCCCCTTGGGGCCCCCAGCCCTCGTACGGGCCGACACAGTAGTGACGTCCTATGTCACTGCAGGTATGTAGAGACGTCAATAGCGTCTCTGCGGCGTAAAAGCCCGATACTGCATGACTGCTGTGGGGAGGCGCACTTACCTTTCACTTACCTGTCGATGGGGGCCCGAGGGGCCCTGTCACGCTGCCTCGGGTTCCGTCGGGAGAGTCAGAGGAAGGGGCGTGGCAAGAGGTGGAGCGGGGCCACGCTCGAGGAAGGGTTAAGGAAGAAGCGGAGCCATCGGGCAGTCGAGTGCGAGAACTTGCGGTGGTGTGGTCACGTCGGGGGAAGCGGGAGACCGACGGTAGTAGGGACTCAGTGGGGTAGGGACCCCCTCTCTCTTGTTGGGGTCTAGAATAACCAGAGTATGTTGTAATTTGTGACTCCGTTTAATGGTAATAAATTGTGATGCCTCCAACCTCTGTGTGTGCCTCGTCAGACACGCACCACAGATGACAAACTCTGACTTAAACAAAATAGGTGATGGAATAAAGTTATTCTTGAACAATATTTTCTACATTTTGTTGTCTCCAAGACATTCCATAGTGACCATTCCCTGTCATATTGAATCATCATCACGTTAATTTGTCTTAAGATGTATTATTATTTTTCTTCCAAAAACGACTGCCCTTATGGGGGGGGGGGGGGGGGGGGGTGTAGCCAAATGCGGCTCTGGAGCCGCAGGTTGCCGACCCCTGGTCGACTTTCTCCGGCAGAAGCGACGTTGGCTGGGTCATGTCGAGTCGAGAGCACTTGGTCGTGCATCTGCCAATCATCTCAGTGAACCCATGGCATATGGGCCTGTCCCGTGACCTGTCAGCAGCGAGCCTTCCACACTTGAGCTGTGGCCTTAAGGTGCACCTAGCCTGGCACAAGCTGCATGGGGACGTTACCGCCAAGTCGGCAGCTGTTGGTGCTCGAGCAAGAAAATGTGGAGCTGGAGAGCAGCGGCCAGCGCGCTGTGCACCAAACCGGGGTGATCCGAGTTCGACTCCGGATCACGGCTAACACCAGAGATTATCGGAAACAGTTCTGGGCCACCCCTAGGTCGACTCAGCCACGAGGGAGACTAAGGCGGCCAGGCGTGGTACTGTCCACCCTCCCCCTTGTGTGCTGTGTCGGCCTTCATCGGTGCTACTCGCTAATAGCACTTTCCCCAGCAGTCTGTTGTCACAGACGAAACGGGGGATCTTTGTCTTTGGAGGGGCGTCGTGAAAGTGTGGCGTGTGGGCGGGATGGAGGATGCTGGAAGAGGGGCGTGGAGCTAGAGTCGGAGGGGAGTGCGGTGGTGGTGGAGGAGGGGGAGTGTGACGGGGCGAGGAGAGTGCGGGGCTGGAGGTGGAGAGTTGTGGTGTAGGGGCGTGGTGGTGGTGCTGGGGGCGTGGTGGTGGTGCTGGGGGCGTGGTGGTGGTGCTGGGGGCGTGGTGGTGGTGCTGGGGGCGTGCTGGTGGTGCTGGGGGCGGGGTGGTGGTGCTGGGGGCGTGGTGGTGGTGCTGGGCGTGCTGGTGGTGGTGGTGGTTGTGGTCTAGGGGCGGGGTGGTGGTGCTGGGGGCGGGGTGGTGGTGTGGTTGTGGTCTAGGGGCGGGGTGGTGGTGCTAGGGGGCGGGGGTTGGTGTGCTGGGGGCGGGGTGGTGGTGCTGGGGGCGGGGTGGTGGTGGCTGGGGGCGGGGTGTGGTGGTGGGGGCCGGGGTTTGGGGGTGGGGGCGGGGGGTTGGTGCTGGGGGCCGGGTGGTGGTGCTGGGGGCGGGGTGGTGGTGCTGGGGGGCGGGGTGGTGGTGCTGGGGGGCGGGGTGGTGTGCTGGGGGCGGGGTGTTGGTGCTGGGGGCGGGGTGTTGGTGCTGGGGGCGGGGTGTTGGTGCTGGGGGCGGGGTGTTGGTGGCTGGGGGCGGGGTGGTGTGCTGGGGGCGGGGTGTTGGTGCTAGGGGCGGGGTGGTGGTTGCTAGGGGCGGGGTGTTGGTGCTAGGGGGCGGGGTGTTGGTGCTGGGGCGGGGTGTTGGTGCTGGGGGCGGGGTTGGTGCTGGTGGCGGTGTGGGATGGGGGGGGGCGGGGTGTGGTGATGGGGGCGGGGTGGTGGTGCTGGGGGCGGGGTGTTGGTGATGGGGGAGGGGTGTTGGTGATGGGGGGGGTGTTGGTGCTGGGGGGGGTGTGGTGCTGGGAGGGGTGGTGGTGCTGGGGGGGGTGGTGGTGATGGGGGAGGGGTGTTGGTGTGGGGGGGGGTGTTGGTGATGGGGGGGGGGTGGTGTGTGGGGGGGGGTGTTGGTGATGGGGGGGGGTGGTGGTGGGGGGGGGTGTGTTGGTGGGGGCGGGGTGTTGGTGGGGGGGGGTGTTGGTGCTGGGGGCGGGGTGTTGGGTGGGGGGGGGTGTGGTGCTGGGGGCGGGGTGGTGGTGCTGGGGGGGGTGGTGGTGCTGGGGGGGGGTGTTGGTGGGGGGGGGTGTTGGTGCTGGGGGCGGGGTGGTGGTGCTGGGGGCGGGGTGGTGGTGCTGGGGGGGGGTGGTGGTGGTGATGGGGGGGGTGTTGGTGCTGGGGGCGGGGTGTTGGTGCTGGGGAGCGGGGTGTTGGTGCTGGGGGCGGGGTGTTGGTGCTGGGGCGGGGTGTTGGTGATGGGGGCGGGGTGTGGTGCTGGGGGCGGGGTGTTGGTGCTGGGGGCGGGGTGTGGTGATGGGGGCGGGGTGGTGGTGATGTGGGGCGGGGTGGTGGTGCTGGGGGAGGGTGTTGGTGCTGGGGGCGGGGTGTTGGTGCTGGGGGCGGGTGTGTGGTGCTGGGGCGGGGTGTTGGTGATGGGGGAGGGGTGTTGGTGCTGGGGGCGGGGTGGTGGTGATGGGGGGAGGGGTGTTGGTGATGGGGGCGGGGGTGTTGGTGCTGGGGGCGGGGTGTTAGGTGCTGGGGCGGGGGGTTTTGGTGCTGGGGGCGGGGTGTTGGTGCTGGGGCGGGGTTGTTGGTGCTGGGGGCGGGGGTGTTGGTGCTGGGGGCGGGTGGTGTTGGTGCTGGGGGCGGGGTGTTGGTGCTGGGGGCGGGGTGTGGTGCTGGGGGAGGGGTGTTGGTGCTGGGGGCGGGGTGTTGGTGCTGGGGAGGGTGTTGGGCTGGGGGCGGGGATGTTGGTGCTGGGGGAGGGGTGTTGGTGAGGGGGGGGTGGTGGTGGTGCTGGGGGGGGTGTTGGTGCTGGGGGGGGGTGGTGGTGCGGGGGGCGGGGTGTTGGTGCTGGGGGCGGGGTGTTGGTGCTGGGGGAGGGGTGTTGGTGCTGGGGGAGGGGTGTTGGTGCTGGGGGAGGGGTGGTGGTGCTGGGGGCGGGGTGGTGGTGCTGGGGGCGGGGTGGGGTGGTGGTGATGGGGGAGGGGTGGTGGTGCTGGGGGGG